GCGGGTGAGGAGCCCTGCCAGCCTCGGGGACATGCCCAGCACCACACACACCAGCGCACTCACTTGCACCGAGGGGCGAGAGCCAGCCTGGCATAAAGGAGGACAGGAAAGTGAGGATGGGGAGTGTCACCCCCCTCTCTGTACCCCCATCCTGCTACACAGACCTGCCTTTCACCCCCAGAGCTGGCTCAGTGACAGCCCGTGTGCCAAGGGTGCCCCATTGCCCTACTGCTCCATTGCTTCCTCCTCCCCATCCCTTGCCGACCTTTCTCTCCCCACCCTGGGCGTACCTGCGTAAGGCCGGTGGCACAGGCGTTGGCGATGCTGGCGGCCGTGCCCCCCAGGGTGCCCAGCAGCCCTGCCAGGAGGCTGCCCAGCCCTTCCATGCAGAGCCCCCGGTTGCAGGCGTGGGAGGGCAGCCGGGGGGCTCGCAGCAGCCTCCCACACAGCACGTAGCAGCCCACCGAGTTCATGCTGCAACCGATGGCCATGGCGATGCCCACTGCCAGCGCCCGGGGTGTGAGCAGTGGCCACCCCCACTCACCTGCAGTGGAGGGAGAGGGGACGGGTGACAGGGGCCCTTGCTGAGGGCGGATGGCTGTACCCAGCCCTGCTGCCCCACACCTGCGTAAGGGATGCGGAGCCAAGGGGCATGAAAGGTGCTGTTGCTCCAGGACAGCTGTGCCATGGCCAGGTCCAGCGATTCCCAGGGGACGTGGAGATGGCTGAGGATGGCACAAACAATGCAGACACCAGCAAATGGGAGCAGTACCTGCAAGGCAGCAAGGGGAACCTCAGCAGGGAATTCTCCTCCCCTGGCCAGCACCCTGCTTGCTGTGCCTCAAACAACAGACCCTTGCCCTTCACCTCTCTCAAGGAGCCATGCCACATCTCCCCTTACCCCCGCAGGGAGCATCCCAGGCTCTGCTGCTCCAACACCCTTGAGCACAGGTCCCCTGCGCTCCCGCAGCAGCACCCACACCCCAGCAGCTGCACCAGGACTTCCCCCTGCCTCTGCTCCCAGCACCCAGCTCTGCTCCAGGGTCCCACCTAATGCCGCACTGAAGAGCCAGGCTCAGAGAGAAGCCTGGGCACAGTGGAGGGAGCAGGGGCAGATAAGCCACAGTACCGAAAACGTGCGCAGAGTGGGGACAAATGGCTCCATGGAGCCCCCCTGAGCCTGGGGCCAGGCGCAGAAGGGCAGGCGGCAGGACCCCAGGTGCTGGGAGAAGGTGACAGCGAGGAGCATGAGCCTAGGAAAGGGAGCACAGGTCACCACGCAGCATCGCGGCGATGGAGCCCCAAATGCATGTCATGGACCATGGGGATGCCCCATTCCTGTCCCCATGCTGAAGGGAAGCCCCGGGGGCTGCACACCGGCGTGGCCCTCGGGCTCACGTACAGCAGCGCTACCCCCCAGTTAGTGGAGCAGAAGAAAGCAGCCTCCTTGTACGCGGACAGCCCAATGATGGAGAGGCTCGGGGCCAGGACCATGGGCCCGCAGTGCCGCACTGCCCACCCACACATGCCAGACACTCCCAGCACCAGCTGAACCAGCCCAGAGATCAATACGGCTCCAGAGACCTGTGGGAGGAAAGGATGGGACCTGTGGGGCAAGATACATGGAGAGCAGCCCAAGACCCCTGCCTTGGCCACATTCCCACCACCCCAGTAGCACCACCCATTCCCCATGCTCCAATCATGCTCCGCTCACCCCTGGGAGAAGCCTGGGAAAACATATGCACCATGACCTCCATTGCCTTTGCACATCCCCTTGTGTCCCCCCTTATTTGTGGCAATCCCCAGGAGGGCTGGAAAAGGGGCTGGGGTGCAGGGATGCAGGTGACAACTGGGGTGCTGGTGGAGCAGGAGGACGGGGACCCCCAGCCCAGTGCAGGAGCACCCACCTCTCGCAGCGAGGCAGTCCAGCTCCCTGCGACGGCACAGTGTGGTGCAGGGCACGTGCTGGCCACAGCCGTGCCTGGAAGGGAATTTTGGAAGGATGCGATGTGTGCGTACGCTGGGCTCCTGGAGCCGGGTGCAAGAGCATGCAGCATGGAGGCTGCTGGCTGGAGAAGAGCCAGTGTGCCAGCATCCCCATCCCCATAAGCCCTGACACTGGGGAGGCGACCAGATGCGTTGCAGGTGCGCTCAGGGGTGAGTAGGGTGCTGTGCACCATCACCAGAGGGGCCAGCAGGCAGGACCCCTTGCTATCCCTCAACCCTACCCCTTGCACTGGGCACCTGGTCACTGCCGTTCCCCTGGCACCGGCATGGCCTGGGCCCTGCAAGATGCAGGCTCCAGGGCTGTGCTCACCGTTCCTGTCTGTGCTGGCACCGAGGGACAGGTGGGAGCTCAGCACCATGGCAGGGACCAGGTACTCGAAGGATGGGATTTGAACCAGCGGCAGCCTGGGGAAGGGGACAGCAAGGGCACATTAGGGAGGAAAGAGGGGACAGGGCTGCTCCCAAAGCCCTGGCTGCCAGAGAAGCAAGGGATGGGAAGGGAAGGAGAACCCCAAAGTGGCAGGAGGTCACCCCATATCCCAAACATGCCCTAGCACATCCCAAGCGGCAGCACATAGGATGTGCGTAGAGGTCAGGGGCTTTGCCAAAGCACACACCCAGACCCTGCGTGGGGAGCATAGGCACGGGATGGTCTAGAGGAGCTGCCTATGATGCTGGAGCAAGGCAGCGAGGAGCTAGAGGGAAAGCACAGCAGTTTTCCTACTGGGACGTGTGAGAGAGAAGGGTGCAGTGATGGCAGGGAGGGGACAGCTGTGCAGAAATGCAGGGCAAGGGGTTGTGCTCATGCCCCTTCCCACCTCCAGCAAAGCCTGTCTTCCCACAGCCTAGGAGGGGGCAGAGACATGCCCTGCCATGGCATCACCCTCCTCCTGGCAACAGCTGCATCCCCCTCGTCCCCCTCGCTCACCGGCTCCCCAGGGTGGTCTGCAGCACCGTGGAGATGCCACAGGCAAAGAGGCTGCGTGCCAGCAGCTCACTGGTGGCCTGGGCGTGGGGCGGCTCCTCGGGCAGGGTGGGCAGCAGGAGGAGGTGGAAGATGCAGAGCAAGGAGGCCTGCACGGCCAGGTGCTGTGCAGGGAAGAGAGGGGGTGGTCGCAACTCCCTGCGGCACCCAGAGCTGAAGCCCCCTGTGCCCAGCCCCCCTGAGTAGATGCACGCTCACTGACACCCCCTGGGCAGCACCCACCACTGCCCGCTCCCCTCCCAGCACACCCCGGCCACCCCACGCAGCCTTTGCCTGGCAGGATGCAGCCCCTGCCCTGTCACCTGTGAGGATCCCAGCCCTCTCCCCATCACCCCATCTCTCTGGCTGCTCACCGTGGTACCCCCTTACCTGAAGGGCTAAGCAACAGCTCAGCATCCAGGAGCACATCTTTTGCGGGGAGCAGAATGTGAGCACGGGGCTCCCGGCACCAGGCGCTCCGTGGTGGCCCCCATTCATGCTGCTGCCTCCCCGCTCCACTCCCAGCTTGCGGTGCGGAGGGGGTGGGCGGGCTCCCACCCCCCCAAGGGCTCCTCACAGCCCTTGCACAGCTGAACTTCCACCTTCTGCAGGAGCTGCCCCAGAGTTAGCCATTAACTTGAGTTGGTGAGTAACCTGCCCTTGTAGCCAGGAATGCAAGTGTCACCCCTGGGTTGTCACCACAAGGGCCAGGTGGCAGCCACCCATGGCCAGGACACCAGACACTGTTACTGTGCCAACTGCCCACAGCCCAGGTCCCATCCCTGCCTCTTGTGGTACACGGGGCAGGGACTGGGTGGGCCACAGCACAGACACCTCTTCCTTCATGTGCTTGGAGCATCCCCACCAACAGCATCCTCCAGCTCCAGCGTGCCCTGCCCGTGCTTGTTCCTCCCCAGCACAGCATCCCCCTGCCCTCCTGGTCCAGCCCTTCCTCACCATCAGGCCCTGAGGAGCGCGCTAAAAGCTGCACAGCCCCCCCAGCTCCTGCCATTCCCCTCTGTGGGCACTGTGCCCACACCAGGAGGGTCTCTGACGGGGGGCCTACCACGTCCCCCATGCTCCTAGGAGGAGGGCACTGAATCCTGCCGCTGGACAAGGATGCCAGGGACAAGAGCTGCGCACTTGGCTGGGAAGGCTCCCAAGGGAGCACAGGCAGGAGATGCTCGTGTTTTTGTCACAGGGCTGAGGTGGCTGTGCTAGCGACCACAACGGCGACCCTGCCAAGCCCTTGCCGCTCGGGGCTCACTCATTAACTGGACAGACTTTGGAGAGCAAAGAGCAATGGAGACAATGCATACCCCACATTCCCAAGGATGGGGAACCTCCTCTCTCCTGCTGCCCCTGCCTTCCCCAGGCACCAGACCCGACGTCTCTCCCGTCCCCTGTCACCAGAGAGCCTGGTCCCTCTTGAGCCCTGCAGAACAGGCCTCACTGCTCCTGGGCTCACTTGCCAACACCTAGGATCTGCCTTGCACCTTGGCTCAGAGAACAAGCACAACTGCATCGACGGGGCTCTGCAGTGGGGTACCTGTGCTGCCAGCATGGAGCGGCTCAGCAGGACAAGGCAGGTGCACAGCAAGAACTACTTTTATTGGAAGAGATTTGCATCTATGAAAGAGTGAAAAACAGGTGTAAAATCCACAGTAAAAAGAAGGGGAGCTGGGCTGGTCAGCAAGACAAGGTGCCTTCTCCCCGCCCCAAGGAGCAGTCAGGCACCGTTTGCTCACAGCCACAGACAGCTGGGGTTTGGGATGGGGTCACAGAGCACCCCAGTTTCAAAGCACCCAAAACAAGCAGGATAAGGAAGCTCAGCCTTAACCACACCTCACCACCTCCAAGCCCAGCAGGGCACAATCTTTCCCTGGGGCACAGACACATTGGGATCCCCTCTTGGTGTGACCCTTGCACCTCCTGAGAAGTAGCCTGGCAACCCCCAAGTGGAATTGCTGCTATGGCCAGCCAGTTGGGCTGCTCGCTCTCCCTTCCTTCCACCTCCTCTCCCCTCACCAGACCCCCCACTGGGGTCACTGCCCCAACCCCTCCACCCTGCACACACAGCCCCAGCATCCTACATCCCACACACCACCTCTGCCCAGCACCACCAAGGGCCACCCACTTACTGTAAGAAGAGTTGCAACACCCCCTTTGCCCTAGCACCCCAGCCCAACGGCACCCCATTTCTACCCTCCAGTCAGTAGGTTCCCATCCCACCAGCCCAACAGCAAGCCAACTCTGCCCCAACCAGCAGCCCCCAAAGTGAAGGACACCCCTGCCCTGGGTGGAGGGACACAAATGCTGGTTTGGAAGTAACACAGAGGCCTCCAGCCCCGCACAGCCCCAGGGATCAGGGGTCCCAGAAGTGCAAGGAAGTGAGTTGTGCCACACTAGGAGGGAAGGGGAAAGGGGCTGCTGTCCCGCACTCCTAGCTGGGAAAAATGAAGCTCTTGATTCTGCTGAGATCCAT